AAGGAGGAGCGGGAAGGGGGAGAAGGGGGTGAAATTGTATTACCGATGTATTTAACGAGACGGAAGTCTGGTCGCAAAACAATAACGGGACTGTACGTTATGCCGCCGTGAGCAAACTCTCGTTTAATGCGTGGTTTTAATTAGCTAAAGTATCGTAATTAGTAGCAACATTATGAACTTGTACCAGTTTGCGTTTGCTTTCGTGTTTGAAGGCTCTTGCGATAAGAGCCCTTCTCGATGTTAATTTTCTAATAATTAAGATAATTTTAACGATTAATTAAATGACTAAAGTATAGTATTCGAGCGAGAAAATAAGGTTTGCGATTACTCTCCCCGTGTTTTACTACTATTGTATTGTTCTGTAATTCTCTTTGAAAATTTTACATATATACAATATGAATTGGGGCGTGTCGGCGAGTTATAATTTATTATGAATAAACTTCGCTTATAACCGATCTCGTTTCTATCTTGATTAATTACTGCAGAGTTTAACTTATTTTTTTCCACAACTAAAAAGAAAGATTAATCTTAATAGTAAGTTAACTGATTATTTTTCAAAGCTAATTTTAGTATAATGGAAAAGATAAATTGAATTAAAGTTTTTAACTATTTCTTTCTAATATACTAAGGATAATATGTTAAATAAATTAATTCACGTTGATAAAATCGATATGAGACTAGAGAATAACGAAGATGGGAAATAATTATTAATTAAAGATATGCAAAATTTCCGAGATAGCAGTGGAACATAATATTTTAGACATTCGATTAATCTTATATCTGAAACGTGAACGCGCGCTTGAAGGAATCGTGCGCTATTACTAGATATTGGCACGCATTTTAGCTCACATAGGATCCTTCGGAGGATTCCATCCTCCGAAGGATTTCCTCGCGTTATTCGAAAGCTCTATCGAAGAGCCCCCTCGCGTTTAAGTGGCTTTACGAACGGATATTGTGGATCTCTAATTTATAACGAAGACGGTATGCGAGAGGAATTTCTATGGCAGTTCACAAGGGACTTTCTGTGTTATACGAGAGGTAACTGAAGAATGGCGGCCGTGTAAATTATTTGATCAAAGAATGAGAGGAGACAGTTTTTTCACGTAATATCCGAAAGAATATCCTGTGGGATATGTGTTAATTATTTTTTATCGTTAATTATCAATATAATTCTCTTAATTTCTCTAAATTTTCTATATTTTATATACAGGGTGAGGCATCTAAAACAGGCCACCTGAATAACTTCGTTGGTAAGCCGAATACAAAAAAATTGTTCAGACAAAAGTTGTATGGTTTCAAGGGGGACATATGATGGTGTCATCAGTTTAATCTTGAAGAGCAACCCGAAGGTCACGTGAAGGTCAGCTCCAACTTTTTAAATGGGATACCTTATATGCTTTTGCATATTCTTGTAGCTCATCTCAAGAGCTTTCCAAAACACTACAATTATGTTAGTTTTCATTAAATACTTTCCAAGTTATGAGGCTTGAAATCATTTTTTAATTTTACATAAACCGTAAAATATCTTGTAAAATATTCATTTTTCGATTATTTTACCTTAATACTTTTATGTACAAAATAATGAGAAGAATCAATTGGTGTAAAGAAAACACATAATTGCTTCGAACAAAAAAATGTAATTTGCAATTAACAATTACATTTTTTTGTTCGAAGCAATTATGTGTTTTCTTTACACCAATTGATTCTTCTCATTATTTTGTACATAAAAGTATTAAGGTAAAATAATCGAAAAATGAATATTTTACAAGATATTTTACGGTTTATGTAAAATTAAAAAATGATTTCAAGCCTCATAACTTGGAAAGTATTTAATGAAAACTAACATAATTGTAGTGTTTTGGAAAGCTCTTGAGATGAGCTACAAGAATATGCAAAAGCATATAAGGTATCCCATTTAAAAAGTTGGAGCTGACCTTCACGTGACCTTCGGGTTGCTCTTCAAGATTAAACTGATGACACCATCATATGTCCCCCTTGAAACCATACAACTTTTGTCTGAACAATTTTTTTGTATTCGGCTTACCAACGGAGTTATTCAGGTGGCCTGTTTTAGATGCCTCACCCTGTATATATAGAGAGAGAGAGAGACAAAGAGAGAGAGAAATTTAGAGAAAGTTTTAGAAATTTTAAAATATTAAAATCTTTATAAAGCCAATGATAGCGTTTTGAACAATTTTAAGAATATAATAATAAATAATATCGCTGGAAAATGCATGACAATTTGTAAATATTATAAGCTTCTCCCTTTTTTACAATTGGGTCACGTCAGTTCCACTTTAACAAAACCATCGGTTTCTTCCATAATCCCTCCTTTCTGCTGGATAGATATATAACAGTGATTATAAATAGTCCTTTCAGTATTCGCAGACTATTGCGGTATTGCTTAAACTGACTCGATGCTCCTTACAGTAAAGTATCTTATTACCGACTTGGTTGTAAGTATCCTATTGTTAGTCGGTTAAAATGGTTGAGCATCCTTCGCAAAATTTTAATACGAAGAACAAATTATAATTCGCCGATCTCATACTTTTTGATAAAATACGGTAGATTATATAAAATTATTTAACTAAATTTACTGAATATTTTGCTGAATTAATCTCAGATATAATATTACTGAATAATTTATCAGTTACAATATTAAAAAATATATATTTATATATATATTAAAAATATATATACTTACTTTTACAATTTAAAAGCTTGCTTTGAAAAGATCATAATATTAAAATAATAATATATATTAAAATGTAATTAAAATATATTAAAGTAATAATAAATCAAAATATAAAATATAAAATAATAATAGAATAATATAAGATGATATAAAATAAAAATAAAATAGAATATTAAAAAATAATATATATAAGGCAATAATAAAATTTAATATGAAAATAATATTAAAATAATAATATTATAAAGATTATATCAAAATGTTTATATAATATTAATTAAATAATTATAAATATTGCAAAAATTTGCCAAACTTTAATATAAAAATTCAAGAACGCACGTTCGCATACTTTTAACTTTCGAAAATTGCAAATTTCAGGCGTAAGAAGTTACGCGAACTCAATTTTGGACTCTGCACAAAATACCTGTCCTCAGTTAGAAATGAATAGTTATTCCGGCGCAGCAATATTCCAATTCTAGAGACACATATACCATTTCTGAGGTGGCATTACAGCAGAACAGTCGCGTATAATGAAGTGTACATGTGCAATGTAGCGCAACGCCTATTCTTGATAACGCTCTTGCATATGTATTTATAATGGATTTCAGGAACACCGCGCGAACATCTCGTGTTTTGTAGACCGTAAATACATATTTGCTTGAATTTGCGTCGACTGTAAATTATAACATTGTCGGAAAAAATTGCGAATATAAGAAAATCGCTCTTACTTCTGACGTCTGACTATAATTATTCTTTTCTACTGAATTTTCTCTATTCCCTATAATTTCCAGTGTATCTCTTCCTCGTTAATAATTTCATAAATTATTTATCTTAAAATAAAAATGCCTTGCGTGTCATGTCAATTGGTTATTACACAATATATAATGTTTCTTGAATTCATATAAAAATAAATTCTGCTTTTCTCTGATTATACACTAATGAAATTAATATTGTATACAAGAAATTTAAATATATGCATGCACAACTTATTTATATATTATATTATATAGGATGTTTCAAAAGGAATAAATATTTGGAAATTTGTAACATTTTTCGATTATTTTGATTAAAAGAGTTTAGATAAATATATGTGTCCAACTGTCAGCGGATGCAAATATACAATCATTATGAAAGGTATTAAAGAACGATAAATGATTTATTGTTTGTATTGATTAACTTGATTTGAATGACACAAAACACGTGTAATTGACAAATAACTTACAAATAATTTATAATTTATATACTAATTGTTTGAAAGCTACACATCAATCTCAATGCACTTTGTAACTCTTGTAATAACAGTACCTGTTGTAAATTATTGTGTTTTTGTATGTCATTTAAATAATCAATAAATAGAAACAATAAGTCATTTATCGTTCTGTATTATTTCTCATAATAGCTTTGTAAATGCCAGTAACTGTATCTCCATTCCATTGATATATTGGACACATTTATACATAAACTTTTTTACTCAGACTAATCAATATTATGATCCCCCAAAAATAAAAACATTTACTATTCCTTCTTAAACACTCTATATAAAGCTAATTGAAAATTTTTAAGAGTTAAAAATCCGATAGTTAATTTTAACAGTTGCAAAGAAACAGCAAGATTTGAAATATAACTGCTATTAAATATCTACTTTTAGATTCATCTAAAATCTAAAAATAAAATATCTAATTAAGATTCTTCCAGTGATCAATATTCAACTGTTGCTTTTATTCGAAAGAGTCAACTTTTTATCTCCAGTCAATAATATCACTCAACAATCTTCCGTTTTGCGTAAAAATTTATTCTTTTCCCTGAATCAACATGTATCTTATACATCTCACGTTATAATATACCGAAATTAATACAGGTTTTTTTTTAACAAGCGCGTTCCGTCGATGTAAAGCTTGCAGCGTAAAAATAAAATGCGGAACTACCAGTCCGTCGAAGCCGGTTTCGAAAAAATTGAACGTATAAAGTTCCCCACGTATATGGATCGCCGAAAAATTCCGAGCGCAACGCATAAGCTTCGCATTCATCTGCAACATTGACAAAAGTTGGAGAGCCGAGAGTACGGCAGCTTTGTATCTCTGGTGTCGCCCACGCAGCTTTTCATTAAATGCGCGTTATTGTTAGCGGCATATGAGAGAATTTCGGGCATCCTCTCCTCTTCGCGCGAAATTTGCACTTAACGGGATGTAAATTTAATGAGTCAGCCTCGTGTTGTCTCTCGCTTTCTTTTTTCTTTACGCGCGAAATTCGGTCGCGTAAAAGCGACTGCGCGGAAGAGTCGACCCCACGTTTTCTCTATCAATTGCAGGGATGAATCGGCAGACGATGCGGAGGATCGGGATGGATGTTGGGCAACGCGTTGCGAAAATTCGACACGAAGCCCGATCGACGAATTGAGGGGAGGCTTGTGAGCGGGCAACGAGCGCGAATGCACGCCTTCACACGGACACTGTTGCATTGACTTTCATGCTCGTCGAATTGCATGGTTTCACCCGAAAATCCAATACGCTCGATTCTGATGGTCCAGTGCGCCTCAGTGACTTGAACATGGATCGGAAACATGGATATGCCGTAAGATCTTCTGTTTCAAAGTAGTCTAGCGTGCGCGAATTTCAGTTTCAATAACGATCATCCATTCAGTTTAGTCGCATAGTAATTAGAACGAAGACTATTATGCAATTATTGCATTGAGATTGATCGAAGGGAACTTTGCAGTTTAGTCGATTGTTACAAACTGTCCTCGAAGAGATTGACATTTTACACAAATGTCAAGTGGACATTTGTTTTCGAAAAAATTCAGCGGTCAGTATTTTTTTAAAAACAGATTTCTCTTCCTTTAACGTTAATTTATTTGCAAAATTAATTATATAATAATTCAAGAATTAAGGTTATTAGGAACCATAAAAATATTTTTATTTATACCGGTATTGTAAATTTTTTTTATATATTTTGTGTCCATTAATTAAATATATATGTCGTTATAATTTTATAAAATACGAAACATTTTGCAAATCATACTTAACGCTCATTCTCCATCTTACGGGTCACTAGCAACCGAGGGACGCAATCACTTCATAAATTCAGTGCGTTATGCTGGTCATCAACATATAAACAGTGCATAGATTGAATCCCAGTGGACCATTTCTAAGCTCAGGTTGGTTGAAACACTTGTTGAACGTAGCACGAAATAATTCTCCTAATAATTCTCTAACCAAATTGTATGCTTCATATAATCCATATCGTGCTTCGCTTATTGGCACAAAGCATGACGACGCAAAAATTTTTACGATTAAATTGCTATTTCATCATCAGGTAATTAATAAATTTCATACATGTGCTCAACAACAGAAAGGGCATATATAAATAATACGAAATAATAATTTAAGATATTTTAATATTTAGCGATATATCTCTGTCATAACTGGAAAGTATGACGAGAATTTTATATAGTTTCATATAGTTTCTTTTCATCAGGATTTATACAGAAAATTATATGCATTTTTATTAAAAGAAATTTCCTCTTTATGCTTGATATTGATATTTAGAAATATCTCGAATAAAATTCAAGGTATCAACAAATGTTTCATATAAATTTTATTATAAGAATACTTTTATTTTAATTAATTAATAATAAATAATACATAAATAATTAATAATAAATATTAACCATATTAATAAAATTTCAAATTTTATTGACAAAAATTTTTTTTATTTTTGAAAAGAATTATTTTATTAATATGATTAGGTATAATAGAGATATTCTTACCATAAAAATTTTGCATAAAGTACTTTATGATATCTATAATAATTTTGAACATATATCGAGAAAAATAAAAAACCGTTTTACATATGAAAAATGGTTGCACCTCCTAGAATCATTTTTGAGTCGCACTTGAAAATTTCTGAATTCATCTATTTACCTCTCCTACATGAGTGTAAAGTTTCATCAAAATCGCATTTTTCCAGCTCGCGAGATTCCTTTGTCAGATATTTTTAATTTCTAAATTTTAGATATCCTCATTCTTATTAAATCTCCAATCTTTGTATCTCAAAATCTGAGGGTTCAATATGGTTCTTACATTTTAAAGATGTTTTATATCTATTATCAAAATATTGAAAATTTAATGATAATTGTACAGAATATCCTTACATATGTTTAGAATCTTCAGTACAATTTTTAAATCGATTTACTAAAGCGTTCACAAGTTATAAGGATTTTAATTTCCACCAAATTAACATGTGTTTTATGGGAAACGTATAACCACGTCGATTCAAATGACAAAAATACATGGAAATAATATTCAGAATTTGTTTAAAATTTGCAAAAGTTTAGATACAGAGGAAATATTTGGTCAAATAATATTATACAAGTACTAACTGATTAAAAAGATATTAAATATCATTCAATGAAATTAGCCATGTATCTGTCACAAGACGAAATTCTCTGTCAAAAGTTAATCATTTCGATTAAGAATGTTTTGTACCTATTTCCAAAATATTGAGAATTTAATGAAAATTGTACAGAATGTTCTTACATATGTTTAGAATCTTCAGTACAATTTTTAAATCGATTCACTAAAGTGTTCACAAGTTATAAGGATTTTAATTTGCACTAAATTAACATGTGTTCTTATGGGAAACGTATAACCACGTCGATTTAAATAACAAAACACATGGAAATAATATTCAGAATTTGTTTAAAATTTGCAAACGTTAGATACAGAGGAAATATTTGGTCAAATAATATTATACAAGTACTAACTGGTTAAAAAGATATTAAATATAATTCAACAAAGTTAGCCATGTATCTGTCACAAGGCGAAATTCTCTGCCAAAAGTTAATCATTTCGATTAACAAAATTCGGAATATTTCAGTAGAAACGCAATAAATATTAAAAAATACATCTCTGCACTGTAGCTAAAATCAAATTATAATCCACAATTTCTTACTCAAAATACACCAAAAGTGGATATATCCGTTAATAATGATTTTCAGCTACCTTTTGTTGGGATTGTGCATACAAAGCATTCTTAAATATTCTAAGAAGCATACGAGAATAAAAATCCTCGCAATAGCCCGGCATTTCACCGTACTTTACAATTCAGTCAGTGTATACATAGTCAGTGTATACAGTGTACACCGGATATACAGAGCGAAAAACAAAACAGTGGTAGTTACAACAAACAAGTCCGTGAGATTACGGTCGGAGGCAAAGTCGGCGCAATGAGCACATATGAAGCTGCGACTCGTTAAAAGTGCAGTACGGCGTGACTAAACTCCAAAAGTCAATAAAAGGGTAGGTTAGCGCGATTGCTGCAGAAGCAGCAAAATATTTCGCGTTAACCCGCGGACGGAGTGACCCCGAAGGCGAAGTTTGCCAAGTAATATTAGATTACCTGCCGGCAACGTGAGCATTTTCGTACGTCACACCGTACATTATCGATGCTTTTACCGCTAACGACGAGCTTTTAGAGGCTCCTTTCCCCAAGTATCGCAGTTTTCTCGCGATTCTCTCTCGCGGAAACGATGACGGGTGACGCGATACTCACTCGGGATAGGAAAAAGGTCGTTTTCGCGACGAGACGACGGAATCACGCGACATTGATATCGCATATAATATATTAAGTGCATGCGCGCGTCCGAAGTTTCCAAAACGTGGCATGTATATCGATAAAAGGCAACAGCTGGGACTTTAACTTGAATAGATGCATGAATAAGTTTTCGACAACACCGATAAAAAAAGTCGCCTATCCGCATCTGTTCTCCAGCATTACGTTGCTCGAGCCGATCGCAAGATTATGCTCCGTTTTATTAAAGTACGCTCGCACACTCATGTACCCATATAACGCCGAATTAAGAGTAAACAAACGTGTTAACTCGATAAGATCAATATGCAAATGCTTCCTTTAGATTGCTTGAAAATAACATTTTACGACTTGAATCAAATCCATTACTTTTTGTAATTTTTTTTTTATGTTAAATTCGAATCCAGCCGCAGAATTGCTCTGCGTCACAATTTTGAGAAAATATAGGGTAAAAATACTTAAAAATAAATGTTTTAGGCAACTACTATAACTTTGAAAGCAAACATAATTAATAAATTTATTCAAGGTCTCAAAAAAACAATACACTTTATAAAATCTAAAAAGTAGAGTACTATAACTTTGAAAGCAAACATAATTAATAAATTTATTCAAGGTCTCAAAAAAACAATACACTTTATAAAATCTAAAAAAATTAATTGAACAAGATATTTTCAAAATGGAGATAATACAATATGAGAATGTTACGTAACATTTTCATACCGATGCTTATTAATTTATAGACTTATGGCCAAACTACGAAGGATGATAGTCTATACATATCTTTTGAATTAGTTCAAGATTAGTAAAAATCATTTTTATCAATTGTTTTTAAAGAATCATTATTTAAACAAAATTTACGTTATCTCACTCGAATCATACACTTATTCACCTTTCGCCTATCCTTTCCATTCCTCAATTCACTTTCATCTATCTGCTCGTTGCATTCATTTATTTATTTTTATGTTACGTCAAAATACCTCGTTGTGTTAAATTTTTTAAAGTTAAAGTGTAATTATTGATGATTCTTTTGAGACATCATAGGTCTGTGAATTATGTTTGCTTTCAAAGTTAGTTTAAATGTTGTCAAAAAATCCTTTTTAAGAGTTTCGTTTTTGTCAAAATTGTAACGTCCGGCCAGTTTGGATCCAGCATAAAAAAATCTACAAGAAATAAGTTCGATTCAGTCGCAAAAAAAAGGTAAATTTTCAATAATTTATATTGTGTAATATAATAATCCAGTACAGCAGGTCTAATTATTGTAGATAGAGCTTCTAAAGGTTACAAAGATAGAATGTTGCGGTTACATATAACTGATTTCCTTGAAGTTAAATACGTACGCGAGTGTAAAAGTGTTAAGTGGACAGTGAAGGCAACGACAGAATAGCCTCAAAATAAATATAGACGAATGCCACTTTTATTATTACACGCATTCTGTTCATAACGATAACGTAAAAATCTATTCCATTAAGAATGTTTTGTATGTACAATCTCAGCAAAAAGTAGCCGAAAATCATTATTGACGAATATATCCACTTTTGGTGTATTTTGAGTAAAAAATTGTGGATTACAATTTGATCTTAGCTACAGTGCAGAGATGTATTTTTTAATATTTATTGCGTTTTTAGTGAAATATTCCGAATTTTCTTAATCGAAATGATTAACTTTTGGCAGAGAATTTTGCCTTGTGACAGATACATGGCTAACTTTGTTGAATTATATTTAATATCTTTTTAATCAGTTAATACTTGTGTAATATTACTTAACCAAATATTTTCTCTGTATCTAAACTTTTGCAAATTTTAAACAAATTCTCAATATTATTTCCATGTATTTTTGTCATTTGAATCGACGTGGTTATACGTTTTCTATAAGAACATATGTTAATTTGGTGCAAATTAAAATCCTTATAACTTGTGAACGCTTTAGTAAATCGATTTAAAAATTACTGAAGATTCTAAACATATGTAAGGACATTCTGTACAATT